TTTTACGAAGCTGCACGGTCCGTGTCCGCACGAACGTACCTACACAGCTGTGACCGGGCGGCGTGGAGTGGGGACGGAGCCGCGGACGCTGTCCCTGGCCCCGACGCACACTCACAGGATGGGAGAGGCGCCGCCCACTGAGCCCGTTTTCATGTCCGCTGTGGGCCCGGCTGGTCTCGGGCACAAGGTCGCCTGGGTCTGGGTCACGGGTGGAGCTCCAGCACCTGCAGCCAGGAGCCCCGTCCACAGGAAACTCAGAAGCACAGGGGCCCCCGGCTCCGCCAGGAGCCCAAGGGCGGGCGGCTCTGGACAGCTGTTGGGGGAGTGGAGGGAGGTGGGGCCCCCAGGAGACCCTCAGAAGGGCCCTGGACACACGGGGCTCCCGCAGCCGAGACTTGGGGCAGGGAGAAGGCATTTCCCATGGGTCTCCGCAGCCCCGCATCCGCGGCACCGGGCGGACAGGCTCCCCCAGCCTGCTCGGCGCCCTTTGAGCCCTGACCTGAAGCACAACCGGCCGCTGGGCTGCTGGCCACGACGCTGGAATCGGAGGGTTTCTCTGTGAGGGCGGGGCTCTGGGAGGGCCGCCTGCCGGGTGCCCCTGTGGTTCCCTCGGGACTGACAGGTTTGTGTGGTCAGTGCCGGAAACTTCTATTAAACGATGCTTTCTGCAAACACAAGGCTGCTTGTCGCGTTCCTGTGGGCGGCTTCGCGCTCCAGGCCTGGTCGCCCCTCCCAACTGCCCTGCAAGTTAGAAACACCTGGTGTGGCTCCCACCCCTCCCAGGACCGCAGGGAAGCCCGGCCCCAGCACATGCTGGGCGCCTGGAGCAGGAGGCAGGGCTTCGAGGTCCCTGCAGCTGGGCAGCAAGTCGGGGGAGGGGAGGGCTCCCTGGCGAGCCCTGGGGTGGGCACAGGGACCCTGGGTGCTGCCCGCAGCTGTGTGGCTTGTGCTGGGTACAGCCTGGGCATTCGGGCAGGGCTGCCTGGGGGGACGTGGGCCCAGCTGCCCAGGGAAAAGCCCAACTCGGCTCCAGGTCGGGGTGGGAGAGGGACCAGCCCCGAGGGAGGTTGCAGGCCCCCCGAGTAGCCGTGCTGGGGGCATCAGGGAGGGGCTGGCAATGGGGTGGGAGCCTCAGAGCCCTGGATGGCGTGAGGGCTGCGAGTGTGCAGTAGGGAGGCCTGAGGCCCAGCCCAGGAGGGTCAGTGGCTTCTGGGTCCCCTCTGGCGCCATCAACTGCAGCAGAGCCCCCCACCTCCTGGCACCCCTGCCCCAGGTCGCTGTGAGGGGAGAGGACCTGCCTGGCCACTGGCCGGGCCTCCATCTGGGGCTCAGCCCCGGCCCCCACACTGAGAAGACATGTCCTGGGAAGTCACCTGACTCAAGGCTGCAGGTGCCAGGTTGGGGCTTGGGTGCCCCTCTCACCGAGGGGCATGTGGGCCGAGGGGAGAGGTGAAGATGCCCAGAGAGGCTGCCGTCGGTCCCACCCCCTGGGAGCCTGTCTGGGCTGCAGGACCCGGGTCCCAGAGGCTGGAGCCCACAGCCCAGAGGCAGCCGCCCCTCCCCGAACCTCCTCTCCACCCTGGTGCACTCCCAATGGCCTCAAAGGTGCCTTTCCTTTGGGGGCTCAGGTCTGAGCTCCGTGAGCTGCAGGCTGTGATGGGTGGAAGCCTCAGGAGTCGTGGATTTTCTCCTCATTCCTGAGGGCTGGGGGGGGCCCAACAGCTTGCAGGGTGGACACCAGCTGGGGTCCGAGGTCCAGGCGGCAGCTGAGTGGCTCCAAGTCCAGGACCTCAGTCCACCTGCCTGGGGTCTCGCGGGCTGGGGCTGGGCACACTTCCTGGCATTCCCGGCCCAGGGCTGGCCAGGCCCCCTCCATCCCCAGCGAGGTCAGCAGAAGCGCCCAGGGTGGGCCCTGGCCTGAGCCTGTCCGCCCGAGTCCCCAGCGCTGCAGGGTGTTCCACTGGGCTCTGGCCGCAAGCACTGAGCTGGGAAGGACATGTCACGTCTGGATGGGCAGCCCCAGGCCTGGCCGAGTCCGGGGCCTGCAGGGGCTGACCTGGGGGGCGGCTTGCACAGCCTCGCAGGTGGACAAACCGCATCGAGAGAGGCCCGGCGTTTGGTGGGGACGTCCTCCCTGGCCAGGGGAAGGGGCCGGTTGGGGACAGAGCGGGTCCCTGGGAAAGGCTGCCAGCCCCGGAGCGGGTGTGGGGGCCTGAGCAGGAAGGTGAGCCAGATGGACACACACGTGCGTCATAAAAAGCCAGTTGTCCACTTTATTACAGTTCAGTGCTTTCGTAAAATAAATATCATAGAATATCAAACAGTGAGGGACAGCACGCTGTGCAGGGCGTGTACCAGAGTTCACGGGGCCTCCCACCGCACTCGGGCGGAGCCGCCGGGCGGCCGCACGCACGACGCGACCAGCGGCCCCTGGGAGCTGGGGAGACCGGGGGGGAGGAGGGGTCGGGGGTCCCTACATCCCTTCAGGGTTCGTACCGTTTCCCCTGCCCCCTCTCCACCTACAACTACGGGACAGTCACATCATCTGACGTCCTCTCTACTGACCTTCGCTTTGTTCTGCAGTTGGAGACAGATTCAAGTAACACTCCCGAGAAAACATGTGCAAAACCAACACGCGTGACCCCAGGGTCTGCGGCAGCCGGAGCAGCGGGTGTCACGCAGGGGCCGGGGAACGTCTGCTCTGAGGCTCAGAGCCTCCCACATCCTCGGAGCTCCCAGGACACAGCACGTGACCGTGTGAAGGTTCTAAGTCGGCGGCCAAACGGAGTGGCCAGGGTGGGCGAGGACGAACGCTCCAGGCGCCGCTCTGCCAGAAGCAGGAGCCGGGACGGACGAGTTGGACAGAAACGCCGAGGGAGCCAATCCAGGGTCACCTCCGCAGAGAAACATGTTGAGCGGCCAAGTGCTTTACCCAAACCTGCCTTTATCCCCGTGGACAAGCCACCAGCGTCCTATCCTCCTCGCCCGACG